AAAGACAAATGAATTACTCTCTTTTGATTCCGTAACCTAGAAATACAGACTTGTACCTTCTATATTCCACCCCCAGTATTAAATTACATTCTTAACAAGCAGTCAATATGAGATAACCCAGTCAACAGAAAACATAAGCAGCTATAAATTTGACATCTATAGTATCTAATTTTAGGATCTGGCTATCACAGCAGTATCCACAGTTCCTATTTTGATATCTAAATAATATCAAGAGGATAGCACCTCAGAAAGGCCATAGCCACGTTCAGCTGAGAATACTTAAAGATGTGAGAGCTGAGAAGATAGACACAGGAAGGTGATCTTGATCCCCCTCTTTTTTGTAAGCTCAGGTACCAAGGTCAAAGCTGTAAATGGAAAACTCCATTTACTTAGAAACCAGAGTCCAGAATCTTCTCTTGAGACTAGATACATATACATCAGTACATCAAGTACTTCAGCAGTAAATTTTGCTGACAATTTTATCTGTATTTTCTAAGATGATAAAAATATTTTCTCATTAAATTAGAAAGCTGCATTGAAATTCTTGTTCATCCTGACAGGTTTCAAACTCGTAACTTTCTATAGCAGTATGCTAACCACAAGGTGGTAGGTTGCTAAGAGAAAAGGAGGAGGACATGAAAGTGGGAGAGACTAATGGGCAAAAGCATCAAAATGCAAGATTTGTGGGATCAGAACAGAAAAATATAGAAGAAATGCTTATCCAACAGTTTTGATTCTATAGTTTAAAAATACACATTTTTATGTTCCTGAATCTACCCTGACCATTATTATTGTTTCTTTTCAAATAATGATTTAATTTAAATAGTTTTGAGCATACAGACTTGTAAACTAAATTGCTCAGTTAATGTTTGAACTACAAAATTATGCTCTCACTTTTTAACCTTTTGGATTCCCATTAATACTGATTTTTTTTTTACTTCCCAGTGACAAATTCAACAGAAATAGTAGAAAATGCTCTTTCCTCATGACTTAATCTAGTGAAGCAAGAGAAGAGTGTGAAATGCTGCTGTGTGAGGAGGGCAGAACACTCAGTTATTTCACTTCTTGCTTTACAGTACACTGTTATGTAGTATCTAATGGTGGGTGGACTTGCCATCTTCTTTCAGAAGCTCTGTTTTCAAATACTTGTATGTTTTATGAAAGACTTCTGTACTGTCAGTGCTTGCTTTATGTGGGTTAGGCATATCTAGCATATCCTTCTTGGAGCTGTCTCTTAAAATGATAATTGAATCCCGTGTTCCTCATTCTTTTTGCACACAGCAAGAGGAGTCTGGGACTGGTTTGCAGAAGGGCTCATCGTTTATGGGAGCAACTGAGAACACAGCAAGTAGTAGGCGAGAAATGCTATGTGCTCTGAAACCAGCAATTCAACTTTTTTTGCTTTTATCTCTCTTGCTGTTTCACCCCTCCATTGTAAAATAGGGCTGTTGTAAAGATAAACCCATGAACAGTTTGTGAGACACGTACTGAGTATAGTGGTGAACAGCACTGAGGGCTCATGAGTAATTACGTCTTCACAGGATTTGGACAGCGTAAAACAAGCAAAGCATGCTACCATTCACTGAGAAAGGACAAATGAAAATACTGACTCTTTGCTTAATAAGTGAATACCACTCATGCTGAGGGTTGATTAATAAATCATGTGAAAAAAGCTATCACAATCATGCAAAAACTCCATTATAAACTCATAGGAGCTGATAGCTATATAGAAAATCTTAGCACTGGTACTTTCAAAACGTTTTGTGGTTGATTTAGAAATCTTAATTATAAATTCATTATATAGATATTATTTTCCTAACAGATTTTTCTTACAAAATTAAGATCAAAATAGAACCTGTGCTTAAATATCTACCGCAGTTATTGCCAAATTTGTCATGCAAGCTCTAAATCAATCTGATATGCAAGTTTTCAAGTCATTTCAAGCAATCAAATAGTGTTTTAACATTGTTAACCATAAAACATTTTTTTTCTTTGTACAAATATAATATGGAATGTAGAACAGTTACTTCAGTACTTTATATCATGCATGAAGTCTAACCCTTCAGTTGTCTTAATGCCAATGACACTATCCACATAACCTTACTTATGTGTATAAGCACCCATACAATTAATATGACAGGATGTTCTTTAAAATCATATAAAACCAGATCAGTAAAGTAGAATGTACTTGTTGTTATCCAATCATGCTGTCTCATTAAATAAATTCTATAACATCTAACAATATTAAAAGTAAAATTAAGAATTCAAGATTATTCAGCTAGGCATTTAACTTAGATGTGGAAACAGAGGAACTACAAATCCACAAATAGCTAAAACCCAAAATTCTGCACATGAGGTGGGCTGAAAATGGATTCCAGTACAGAATTCATGTATCAAAGGGGAGGAATTGGACAAAAAACCCTCTTTTGCTGATACAAGGATCCCAAGTATAAGCCAAAGGTAAAAAAAGTGTAATTTTCACTTGTACATACATATTAGAAACATGTAGGTATTAGAATAGTAGAAATTACAAATTTATTAATCCCAAGCATAAAACTGAAGCAACTTTGTCAACCTGCTCCTCATGTTATGTCCTACAACTGGTTTCCTAGCTAATACTTCCCAGAGACCTCCTGTTCACAACATGTGAAATACTGTGGATATGGTCTATATTGGAACACACTCAAATGTTGAACTCTCACCATTTTCACAAAAAAAAAGTTTTCCAAACAGTCATAAAGTATTAAAGTAGTTGATAAATATGAATGGGACAAGATACTAAGAAAGCCAGGAGTTAACAATTTCATGCTCACTGTATCAAACATCCATCTGTACTCCTAAAGGTTTGGTGGAAGTTCCAACGTATTTGTCTGTTTATGTATTTGGTAGTATCTATCACTCAGGACTGAATGTCAGTTTACATATCCTATAGTCATAATGAAGTAAAGAAGTTGGCACCATTTATAAAATGACTAATTTCTGCAGGAGTAAAACACAACTTATCAGGGCAGCAGAAGACTGTTGGATCACTCATCTTCCAAGCACAGCACTGCCATTTTAGCAGGACCTGACCACCACTTGTCATAGGATTCAAAATTCATCCAGGTAAATGAAAGCTTCTTAGATGGAAAAAGAGATGGTAAAGTCTTAGACTCTAAAATTATCTTAAACATTTTCATATCTCAAAAGGTGGCATTTTCATTAGAAGTAAAATGGTATCTCCCTGCCTTAGTTTAAATCTGAACAAGCTTTAGCATATTCCTTCAACAAGACTAAGAGCTAATGATGACTAGATCTGTCGTTTCAGTAGCAATGAATGAAGAACATTGGAATAAATGGATTATAAATATCCAAGAGCAGTAAGAATAAACCAGATATATATTACCACAGATTACATATGTGATGAGGAAGTTCATTCTAGCAAGTCAACTCTTACGGACAAATCAAGTGGTGCCATTAAAATTCAGTATGCACATGCTCAGATCAGTGACACACCTAATAAAAAAATCTACAGAATGAGATTATATTTGTATCAGTTTTCATCCTCTTCTATTCAGTTCAGAAACCTTTTGTTTTATTTTACATATCTTCATAGTGTATCTCAATAACATTTTGTACCAAATCCTACAATAAACATCTTATTGTTCAGAATAACTTCCAACATTCATGAAAACTTAAGCATTGCTTTTTCTTTAAAAATGTACACTGTCATTCATAAACTATTCCACATTTGTTTAAAGGATGTAGCTCCTAAGAAATGAAGTATGCTAACTGACAAAACAATGAAGAGTTTCAAGTAGAGAACATATGCTTTAGGTCTCTATGAAAAATCTTACCATACTCAATTGTACACACGTGTATGTTTATCTACAGCAGTATTAATCTGAACTAATGCACAGTGCTCTTTATCTAACAGAATATTTAATACCCTATGCTTTACTTTCAATATGAAGAACACAAACCATTCTTTTCTGGTTTTAAACAGAACTATACATTTCTTTCCATAGAAAAAGTAATAAATGACAAGGGAAATGAAAATGAAATTATTTTAACCATGGGTAGGTGGGGGCAAGCAGGGTTAAACCAGTGAAGCATTTTATCCTCAGGATTATCTGTATCACAGCATTTTCGAAAGCTCTATGTTAGCTACCTTTCCTTCTTCCAGTGATTTTGTTTGGGCTGGAGTGAGGAGGGCGGGGATTAAGAAAAAAAAAAAAAAAAACACAATTCAACATTAACAGAAGTTCATAAGAAACACAAGCACCTGGATGTGTATTGCTTGTTCTTACATCTTCTCAGGTGTCACTCAGTTGATACCTTGTAACACCAATTCTTATTTTTCTTTGAGGTACACTGTGACACAATTTAGTCACCAAGTTCCAAGAAAACAGGAGGTTCTTACTTTTGAGCTTTCACCTGGCATCCCAATACGGAGAACATCACCTCCCGCTAGAATTTTAATGAGCTTGTGAGAAAGTTGGGTGGCCGCGATCCTCAGGGTGGAGTGCCGGCTTTGAGAGGCCCGTGTGCCGGGGCCAGCTCCGTAGGCAGGGGCAGGGTAAGGACAGGGGCAGAGGCAGGGGCAGCAGAAGGGCAGGGGCAGGGTCTGGGACAGGGGCAGTGGCAGAGGCAGGACAGGGGCAGGGGCAGCATCCCCTACTCGCGGCGTCCCGACCCTTAAGACTTTCCTCTCTCTCCCGCGACCCTCGAGCAGCCCACCCCCCCGCCACCCTTCCCGCGCAGCGGCGCGCCCCTCTGCGCCCAAACCCTGCCCTTTCAAACTGAGGACCCCTCCCGCCTCCAGGCCCCACACCTCCCCCGCGACAACGGCCGCACACTTGCCCATCTGCGCCCCCAGCGCTGTCATTCCCCCCGCTCCCCTCTCCGCGGTCGGGGAGCCCGCCCTACGACCGAGGGGGGCAACGACCCCTCTCGGTTCCCCAACCCCCCCGACCCGCGGATGCCGCGCAGGTTGCGCCGGAGCCGGCGCGCTTCCCTACCTGCGCCCGCCTCCGTCACCTGTTGCCCGGCCGCCGCCATCCGCGCAGCCCCCCGGCGCCTCCTCCCGCTCCAGCGGCGCCGAGGGCTTCTGGGGCTCCCGGGCCACCTCCATCCCGCCGGGCGCCGCCTCCGCCTCCTCCTCCTCCTCCTCCAGGGACTCCACGTAGAAGACGGTGCGCGGCGGCGGCGGCGGCGGCGGCGGCCCCGGCCCATGGCCGTGCCCCAGCCCGTGCCCCCCGCCCGGCCGGCCGCCGGCAGGCAGCAGCGTCCCGTTGGGCGGGCTGGCCGTGGTGGCCGAGGAGGAGGAGGCGGAGGAGGCGGATTTCTTCCAGAAGGCGCTGTTGCCTCTCTCCTGGCTCTTCAGCAGGCGGCTCTGGCTGGGCCCCCAGTGCTCGAAGCTGCTGTCGGGCGGCAGGCAGCCGCCCCCCGCCGGGCCGCCCGCCGGCGAGGGGTGGCTGAACAGTTTCCAGCGGAGGCGCAGGATGTGCTTCACGTCGAAGTCTTTCCTGCCGGAGCCGGACATGGTGCCGCGGCGGGCGGGGGACGGGCGAGGGCCGAGGCGGGACCGGCGGCGGCGGCGGCGGCGGGGGCGCGGGGCGGCCCCGCTCCCGGTAGCGGCGGCGGTTCCTCCGGGCAGCGCTGCGCCTGTGAGGCGGAGGGTGGTAGCCGCCGGGAGGAGAGAGATGCGCGCACACACGCCAGCGCGGAGAGGGAGAGGGAGGACGGATGGAGTGATGCACAGAGCCGAGAGGAGGTAGAGACACCCAGCAGGGAAGGGAGGAAGAGAGAGGGAGAGATGCCCAGAGCTGACGAGGATTGCACGGCGATCAGTGGAAAGGGGAGGGGAGAGAGAGAGGCAGAAATGAGAGACACCTCTCAGGGGAGACAGGCACTTGCGAGGGAAGAGCGGGTGAGGGAGGCTGCGAAGACGCTCTAATCTGATTAACGGGGCAGCGAGCGGAGCTACAGCCCGGAGAGGAGCGGCGGCGGAGGAGGAAGCAGGTGGCTCTTCCTCAGTCTCTTAGAGCTCCGTGACCGAGTGCAGCCAGGGAGGGAAAAGTCACCTGGAAGCCTCTCTCCACCTCCCGCCTTCTCATCCCGTTTCTCAGGGGAGTCCCGTGCCTGCAGTTATCTGGGATGGCAAAGCCGGAGAGCTGGCACTGAGAGAAAGCGGCGCTCCTTTATATACCCCGTACGTAGGAAAAAAAAAAAAAAAAAAAAAAAAAAAATCACGCCCGTGAGGTTGTCAAGGTCCTCAGTGTACAATTCTCTATCTATCTCAGCGCCTCTCACCAAGCCACCCCCTCCCCGCATGTGACGCAGATGTGCTCTGGGGCTGTCGGTGTGGAGAGACAGAGGGAAAAAGATGCTTCAGCCTTCTGCGTGCAAGTAAGTCGGCAGGTCACCAACTGTCTCTGATAGCCTCCTCCTCCTCCCTTCTGCCCAGTGCAGGTCTCCTCACCTTGGTATTTTGGTTCTGAGACCACTGTGTAATACTGGGAGCAAAATAAAGCGAAACAACAAATGCAGCAGCAGCAGTAAACACAAGAGTGTGAATCATAGGAGTACAGACTTAATAGACTGCATGCAGACTGGATGAGGTTACAGGTTAATGATTTATTCTGCAGGCTCCATTCATTAGGCTGTTGGCTCAGTGTTGCTGTACCAGTAGAAAACATTGGATATAGGGACAGTGTGTTAAACAGAAATAGCCCTACGCATCTGCTTCTTACCTTTTATATCTGCTCTTAATACAGTCTGGCGGTGCTAAACCCAAGGGAGGTTCCTTCACAACAGGGGGATCTGCTTAGGAACATCAGCCCACTTGGGAGGGTTGTCATGAAGTACACTGTGCATCTGGGACATAATTACTGAAATAAAAGCTTCATGGTGAAATGTAGGAGAGGATTACAAGGGAAAATGCATACAAAGTTGCCATCAATAAGATTATATACAGAATGCCTGAAATCCACCTGTGCCTTAGAAAGTAGTATTTTAGAAGAAGATTTATCCCTATGAAAATTACGAAAATTATTATATTTTCTTCCATGCACTCTTCACATTGGTCAGCTTTACCCATGCACTCGTGAGCTATCAAAAGTTTTTTATATTAATTCTTTGTGAATTCAAGAAATAAACTTGAAGGTATTCTTTCCTTCAAGCTGGAATGTTTAAACTCTTCATTCATAAAACACTATAGTTTCAAAATTCCTTCAGAGAAACCCAAAAGTCAAACATTAATTAACAATTTTATTACTGTTTTATTTACTTTATCACTGAAGTATATTACTGTTTTATTTACTTTATCACTGAAGTAGTGCTTCTGGGTACAAACCAATATTAGGGTTTGTGTTTCATATTGGTAAAGTTCAGCATTTAACAGAACAAGAAAGAACACAAAGTCTGACTTTCAAAGGAAGAGGAATTGCCACTGTGCATTCTAAATATTGATTTATGCCACAGCAGCTGGACTGCATACTCTCTAGTGCGTCAGTTTTGCTCTCAGTATTCAGTGATAAGAAAAGACAAAAAACATTCTAAAACAAATGGAAGAGACAGTTCATTTTTATCCAGGAACTGGTCTGGGTGAATATGTGCTGTTTGGGAGAGCAGCAGGAAGAAAAGCCTAAAAATCTTCATCTAGAATAGGACAGCTGAAACTTTCATCATTTCAGAGACTTCAGAAATGCATCCCTTATGACAATATATGTGAAACCATCAATAGTGAATCTCTGTTATTTAATGTCTGGTTACAAGCTCTAAAAGATGTGGACATGTACATGTAAAATAGCTTTAATCAATTAATGCATAGATAGACAGTATGCTATCTCTCCTGTATTCAATACCATTTAACTGATTAGGAAAATTCAGAAATATTCTGACTTGAGGAGAATTACATAACTTCCTTGCCATATTATAAATCTTAGACATTTTAAAATCTGCATTATTATTTTAGTTGATCGTTTGATGTGAACAGCTGATGGGTTAGATTTTCTAGCTTTACTTCTGTAACATAGGTAAATATAAATGACAATACTTTCCAACAAAACTGTTTTTCTAAATACACTTCAGAGGTCACTCAATTAATGTATTACAGTGTCACCCAAGAAAATACTTAAGTTTTTAAATCACCTTTCCGGTACAAACTAGCAAGCAATTATAATGAAAAAAAAAAGTAAAAAATACTTCAGGTTATTTGGAATTCATATCTTTTTATTTCAGTTATGTCAGTAACTAAAATAAATAGCCTTGGATTTTTTTTTTTTTGACAATTAAAATCTCAGCTCTTCAATGTACCATGTATAGTCTTTTATATGCTTTTTAACATTACTTGATTCTTTCATATTTTAGTATATAAACAGTTTTTGCAAGAGATGCATTCATTTGGTATGTATACCTGATTTTTCATGTATGAAGTTGTATGAACACTTCTATATCATAAAATGAAATCTTGAAAACTCTCCTGATTTTCTTTGTTTATATCTCATTCACAATTGTGTTATCAATGTATAGTAGGCAAGAGCTACCCCAAAAAAAGCTACACTGAAGTAGCCATTGTCACTACATATATTTAATGAATAATTTTATTTCCCAAGCCTGAAGTAGAATTAAACAGTTTGGTTTACTTAAGTTTTCATAGTTTCTTATCTTCCTGTTGCCCTGCAAACACTTTTGCCAGTGAGGCAAAGAACGTATTCTACATTATCATATGACAAGCTGAACACAAAATGTCTTTTGAGTTTCAGTGGAAACTTCTGGTATATAAAAATATTAACTCTATAGGTTGTCTAGACTTGCTTCTCCATCCAGGCAGGTCAAGAAAAAATTGCTCTCTACTGCAGTTCTAGGGACCTTGCTCATAGGAATTACAAAAAAATTATTAGTTTACTAGTCAAATACGTCTTCATCTACTCATATGAATTTGCCACAAACATATAATCAGATTTGTGAAAATACACGTCTATTAAATTATTGAAGGGAAATATTTTGATGCCTAACCATCCATACCTTACACATTCCATGAAGTGTAGCCAAGATAATAATCATGGGTAATCTGTCCCATGTCTGTTGGTTGCACACTGGAACATAGTGTATCACAGTGTATTTCTGTTTATTAAACAATATGTTTCTGAACTTCCTCACCTGGTGTAGTTTCCCCAGATTCTTCATAGCCACTCAAATATTGAATAACTTTACAGACTTTGCTTGCAAGTGGTCATGGCTCTTTATCTGTTAGTTAGGCAAGCAGATGAAAGTCGTTAATCTTTATGTCCCTGTTATGAATCAGATTCCTGACACTTTCTCTTTGTGTTTTTGTATTTCTAATGCTCTTTAAATGAATTAAATTCACACAGTCATGCCCCTAAGGAAGTCTCACGTTCATGTTTTGTAGGAAAAATGGCCTAGGGATATATATCCCTCCAATAAATCCTCCAAGTAGTAAAAAGCACTTCCAAGGAGAAACTTGAAGTAGGTATCCAAACTGATCAGATTATATTAACCCTCTTTTTTTTATTTCTTTCCATTGCAAAGTTTTGGAGTATTGTTTATTTTTAGGTTTCAGATATTTCACATTAAGCTGTTTACATGTTGTACCCTGTACACCAGGAAGAACTGGTGGATCAGGAATAAAGTTAAGTTGTAGTTATCGATTGCTGAAACAAGCAACAGAAGAACCATCATTCAAAGTAATTCGCCAGCAGTACCCTTAGGGTTATGAATAGTCCTAGTCTATGTGAGTCTCCACATTACATTTGCATAAAGTCAAAAGATAGACAGCAAGTGAGTCTGAAGGTGATGAGCATATGTGTTACTGTCGAACAATAGTTATTAGTAAGAGAAGGTACATACCTCTCAGCAAATTAAAAGGATAAGGTAATTTTGTTACTGAATTTTAACCTGTCATGTCTTTTTAATCCAGAAGACAGTCAATTTTTATTAAAAGAAGCAGAAGAAAAAGAAGAAACATCATTGTTCTTCAGATAAGAACGAAACTAGAATGAATGGTTTTAAAACATTTCTCACTTGAATGTCAGAATTCTCACATGAATGAATGAACATATAACTTCAGCTGTAAAGATGCTGATTTTTGTGGGTGGTTAATTATACATTCAGAAGCAAGAATCTGAGGGTGTTAAAAAGATGCTGTAAAGCAAATCTATGGAATACTCTCTACAGAGAGTAGAGAAAGAAATTGATGGGACTGGATGTCCACTGAGAGATCAAAACTTACTGAAGAAAGTTGCAGTGTGCGAAGTGATAAATAAATGTATTAGATTTATGCTTTAAACTTCCGTTATGTATAAAGACTTTGAACAAGATTTATGAAATGTAGATATATCTTGAATTGGTTTAGATGAGTAAACTGGGAAACACTGGGAAAAGATGGTAGTACTGGAAAAAGATGGTAGTACTGGGAAAATCCACTGTTACGTTGTTTATAACATATACATACAATGCTGTAGCATTGCTGTGTGTCAGGAAGGGGAGTTTCAAGTTGCTGAGCTGATTTTCCTGCCATAATAATATATGTAGACATATTTAAAATACTAGAAATATGTCTACACTTACTAACTATGATTGGTTTCTAATGGCAAGAAAGGAATAATAAAACCAAACAGTAAACCAGGTCTGATTCCCTTGTCTGCTCTTGTGTATTTTTTTTTAGTGAGTTTTCAACTGAGATTAAACTTTTGAGAATGAGCTTGCCTTTGATAAATTAAAAGGTTAAATGATGTTATTTCTCAGAATTAACAGTGAGATAGGTTTCTGTAAGTGTGGTGACATGACCAGCTACATTTATTTCAGGGGGTAACAAAAATTGCTTCTCCGTATTTGTCGTTTACTGCCTCCTTAGTAATGCTGGATTAAATAATGATATATTAATTGCCCCCAGTGGTGATTTGAACAGATACATTTTATTCTGCATTGCAGGACCCTAGAAGAGCACAGTCAGTTATCTTATATTAGCTTGAGGGACAGTAACTTCTTAAACCATTTCATTATGATCACAAGCACTTGTATAAACACAGCCTAAAGCAGTTTTTTAAGTAGTCAGAGAATTTCACATAAGAAGAGTAAATACTACGTGATTTATCACGGATAAAGATTCACAAGTAAACTAAGTTTAGAGAACATAAAATTATGAAACCAGAGAAATTATTATTACATTTAGAAATGTAGGCA